GTCCAAAGTGATTTTTCCGTTCTCATTTCTGATTCTGTTTATGTGAGTAGACTCTCTTTTTTTCTTGATAAGTCTGGCTAGGGGTTTTATCTATTTGATTTATTTTCTCAAAGAACCAGCTCCTGCTTTCATTGATTCTTTCTATTGTTTTATTCTTCTCAATTTTATTTATTTGGGCTCTAATCTTGATTATGTCAATAATTCTACTGACTTTGGGCCTCATTTGTTCTTCTTTATCTAGTTTCATTAATTTTGAGTTTAGACTGTTCATATGGGATTGTTCTTCTTTCCGGAGGTAAGCCTGTATTGCGTATACTTCCATCTTCACACAGCCTTCACAGTGTCCCACAGGTTTTGCAGTGTTGAATTATTGCTGTCATTTGTCTCAATATATTGCTTGATCTCTGTTTTAATTTGGTCATTGATCCATTGATTATTTAGGAGCATGTTGTTAAGCCTCCATGTGTTTATGGGCTTTTTTGTTTTCTTTGTGTACTTTATTTCTAGTTTCATACCTTTGTGTTATGAGAGGCTTGATGGTAAACTTCAATCTTCTTGAATTTACTGAGGCTCTTTTTGTGACCTAGAATATGATCTATTCTTGAAAATGTTCCATGTACACTTGAGAAGAATGTGTTTCCTATCTATTGCTTTTGGGTGGAGAGTTCTGCAGATGTCTGCTGGGTCCATCTGTTCTAATGTGTTGTTCAGTGCCTCTGTCTCCTTGTTTATTTTCTTTCTGGTTGATCGGTCCTTTGGAATGAGTGGTGTGTTGAAGTCTCCTAAAATAAATTCATTGCATTCTATTTCCCCCTTTAATTCTATTAGTGTTTGTTTCCATATGTAGGTGCTCCTGTGTTGGGTGCATAGATATTTATAATGGTTATATCCTCTTGCTGGACTGAGCCTGTTATCATTATGTAATGTTCATCTTTGTCTCTTGTGACTGTCTTTGTTTTGAAGTCTATTCTGTCTCATACAGGTACTGCAACTCCTGCTTTTTTCTCCCTATTAATTGCATGAAATGTCTTTTTCCATCCCTTCACTTTCAGTCTGTGTATGCCTTTGGGTTGAAAGTGTCTTTCTTGTAGGCCTACAGATGGGTATTGCTTTTTTATCCATTCAGTAACTCTATATCTTTTGATTGATGCATTCAGACCATTTACATTTAGGGTGATTATCGATAGATATGTACTTACTGTGATTGCAGGCTTTAGATTCATGGTTACCAAAGGTCCAAGAGTAACTTCCTTACTATCTAATGTTCTAACTTAACTCACCTAGCATGCTATTACAAACACAATGTAAAGGTTCTTTTTTTTTCTCCTTGTCTTCTTCCAAGATTCTTTATATATTAGGTATCATATTCTGTACTCTTTTTCTATCCCTTGATTGACTTTGGGAGTAGTTGATTTGATTTTGCATGTGCTTAGTACTTAATTGTTCTACTTACTTTACTGTGGTTTTATTTCCTCTGGTGACAGCTATTTAACCTTCAGAACACTTACATCTCTAGCAGTCCCTCCAAAATACACTGTGGAGGTGGTTTGTGGGAGGTAAATTCTCTCAGCTTTCGCTTATGTGAAAATTGTTTAATCTCTCCTTCAAATTTAAATGATAATCTCTCCAGGTAGAGTATTCTTGGTTCAAGGCCCTTCTGCTTCATTGCATTAAATGTATCATGCCACTCCCTTCTGGTCTGTACACTTTCTGTTGAGAAATCTGATGATAGCCCAATGGGTTTTTCTTTGTATGTGATCTTCTTTCTCTCTATAGCTGCTTTTAAAAGTCTGTCCTTATTCTTGATGTTTGCCATTTTAATTATTATGTGTCTTGGTGTTGTCCTCCTTGGTTCCCTTGTGTTGGAAGATCTGTGCACCTCCATGGCCTGAGAGACTATCTCCTTCCCCAGATTGGGAAGTTTCCAGCAATTACCTTCTCAAAGACACTTTCTATCCTTTTTTCTCTCTCTTCTTCTTCTGGTGCCCCTAAAATGTGAATATTTTTCCATTTCGATTGGTCACACAGTTCTCTCAATATTCTTTCATTCCTAGAGATCCTTTTTTCTCTCTGTGCCTCAGCGTCTTTGTATTCATCTTCTCTAATTTCTATTCCATTTACTGTCTCTTCTACTATATCTAATCTGCTTTTAAATCCCTCCATTGTATGTTTCATTTCAGATACTGTAGTCTTTAACATTTGTATCTCATTGTTGAATTCCTTCCTGAGTTCTTGAGTATTTTTCTGTAGCCCCATGAGCATGTTACTGATTTTTATTTTGAAATCTGTTCCAGGAAGATTGACTAGTTCAGTTTCACTTGGTCCTCTTTCTGGTATTTGTGGGATTTTTGTTTGATGCAGGGTCTTTTGATGTTTCATATTTGCAAGTGGCACCCTCTAGTGCTCAGAAGATCTAATCACTGGAGCTGCTCAGCCCCTGGAACAATGGCAGGGGTCACAGGTGAGCAGCTCTGGTGCCTGTCAGGAGGAATGAGCTCTTTCATGCCTCCTGGCTGCAGTGCCTGCCTCCACTGGCAGGGCCAGTGAGCTGAGTGCACAGTGAGGAGCCTCTATGCATTAGACTTGTAGCTGCCAAAGGTGGAGCTGCCCTCTGGCTGGCCTGGTGCAATGGTGGGGGCTGCCAGTTTGTAAGCTGGTGCCGGCCATTAGGAAGGTACAGCAGGCTGCATATCACAGTGAGGGCCTTGTAGCTGCATAGCCAGCCAGGGGGATGGAGCACCTGAAACTCTTGAAAGTTCCCAACCTGCTGGGCAGAGTGCACCCAAACAATTTTTTCCACCTATCCTTTCTCCCGAGCAGGAAGCTCTGTGCAATCCTTGCCCCTTTAGCAGCCCCCTCACTGTTAGGAAGTGTCTCAGACTGCCTGCCTTTCTTTTGTTCCAGAGTGGCTGGTTATGGATACATGTTTTGAACAAGCGGCTGGAATCTCAGTCTCTCCAAGTTTTCCTCCTGTTCCAACCCCACTACTCTCCACATCACCATGTAGTGTAGGTTCGTAGTCCCAGAGCAGATCTCCATGGCTGGGTGTTCAGCAGTCCTAGGCCTCCACCCGCTCCCCAATTCATTTCTCTTTCTCCCTTCAGTGAGCTGGGGTGAGGGAAGGGCTTGGATTCCTCCAGAGCACGGCTTTGGTACTTTTTCCTTTTCCTTGAAGTCTGCTGGTTTCCCCAGGTGTAGCCAGTCTGCTGCAGCCTTCTTTCCTGTTTCTCTTTCAGGATTAGTTGTATTTGCTATATTTTCATATTATATGTGGTTTTGAGAGGAGGTTTCTGTCTCACCTCTCATGCGCCATCTTTAATCCAATCCCCAAGAAGCCAGTTTATTTTAAAACATACATACCAGTGACAAGGTCAAGTAAACAAGAAAGAAGTAAAAAAATTGAAGTCATATAGTTACCACCAATGCCCACTGTTCAGTTGCCTAGGCTCCCCACACCCTACTTACATGGGTTCTCTGACTGACATAATGCTATGATGTGAGATGAAAGAGAGCAAAGGAAATTGGCAATGCCTTCCTCTTATGGAGGGAAGGCTCTGGTGCTGTCTGGTGGACCAAGAGCCATGGCCAGGTAGCCCCACTGTTTGAAAACAGAAAACTCCTGGGAAGAGTGCAGGAATTTTAAGTGTGAACAAAGGGCTGCTTTGAGAAAATGGCCATCAGAAGCAGAAGAAAACATTAGTCCCTTGTCTTCATCTGCTCCTAATCCAATGGCCCCACCTACTATTGAATTGTGAGACACTGAGAGAAAGACTCAGAAAAAATAAGTCCTACTCTTGGTAAGGAAGTGGCATTGCAGCCACCAATCTTCCGTCCATATTCTTCTGACAGGGAAAGAAGCTTGGGAAGAAACTGTTTGCCTTTTGGGCAGGGGCTAAATCCAAGGGAAAGTAATCTCCCTTCCTTTCATGTATTCATGTGGCTTGTAAGGAATCTAGAATAAGAAAGCTTGGGTTCAAACCAGAGGCTGTCACCACTACAACCACCACCATTCCCACCAGTACCACCATGTAGCTGAGTAAATGCTGGCAGTTATTTACCACCTTGGAATCTCAAGTCCCTCTGACAAATGTGTCTCTCCCCACTAGCTGTGAATGATAAAGGCATCTTCCCTGTATCTTTACCCAAGGAATTCTCTGGACCAATGCTGAGTAGGTCTGGGAGTCTCTTAGGGGCATCCTCTCCCCTAAGGAAGAGGTGGGAGGCAGAGGAAAGGGTCTCGAATCAGTCTTACATCATGAAGTCTGAGTGCCTAGGGTGAGCTACTGATTTCAGGGGGCCCTTTGAACATCATTTCTAAGTCCTCCTGGGATATACCAAGACTGATTTCTACCCTGATTCTTTAAGTATGTTCCAGTTTTCCCATGTTGGAGCCTCTACAACTGCAGTGTAACTCCTTCCCTTGCTCAAAAGAAGGACCTGTTTTCCCTTGCAGTTGTTGACTGGATATCACTACAAAGAAAATGCTGCTGGCTGTCTAGTCATACAGTGTGTCTCCCAGGATATATTATTATCATCCCTTAGTGTCAGCTGCAATCTCCCCACACCCACTGTTTAGAGTCACGTGCACTGCAGGTCAGCTTCTTTGGGGGCCAACTGCACAGCTCAGTTAGCCCTGTCAGCTCTGGCCCACGTTTCCAGCTTCCTCTCTGATTTCTATAGGTCTGCTATTGAAATTGCAGGATGCCTCCTGTTTAAGGATACAGTTCTCCACAAAACTGGGGAGGTCACAAAAGTGATAGGTCTTTACATCATAAAGAACCCAACAGTAAGTCAATCAGAGATGGGCAGTGGTAGATTTAATTAGGCAGTGCTTTCTACTTGAGTGCAGTGTGGCTAAGAAATGTGTCAACCTCATTTGTAAAGAAGGCAGGCTGTTTACTCTACCAAGGAATGTCCTTGCCCCATCTCAATAGCAGATCTACTTGTCCATTCTGTTCAGCCCTCCTAAGCAAAGATCTTTGTTACTCTCCATTGTGTAGGACTAGATATGATGTCACACTGGAAGTGACATCACCAGATCCGGGCCCCAGGGAGTGATATCACTGGAAATGAAATCACCAGAAACAGAAGTGACTACACCGGATATGAGATCAGTCTGGAAGTGACATTATTATGAGCCTGCATATATAAATAGTGCTCTGAAAATAAACTGGGTCACTTGTCTGCCATCAGCAGGCAGTGAACCTCCTGATCCCAGCTTTGGTTTCTGTGTTTTTCTTGTATCTTCCTCTATTTTTCCTACACTCCTCATCCACTCCACTCAGGTTCAGCTGGTTTGTGGAGCTGGTCTCTGCACTCCATGTAACAAGCACCTACTAGAAATCCCTATTGTTTCACTGATCATACTATATTGTAACTGTTGGATTTAAGTGTATTTCTCAGTTTCTGTTGCAGGTTTCATGAAGGCCAAGACCCTATATAAGTTATCTTTGTACTCTCAGTAGCCTGGGATACAGTGAGCCTTAAATAAATATATTGTATGACTAGATACACGAATGGATAGATGGATAAGTGATACCTACAGTTGGATTGGGGTATCATGGCATATAAATACAAAATTTCATTACACATCCATCCCAAAGTATCATTGTCCTTGGGAGACCTTTAACAATCCCCATTTTTAAAGCAAGGTGTCACTTCTAAGATACAGATTTTCCCTCCACACTTTACATCTCTGAAATGGAAGGGACCTCCCAATCTCCATTAGCAAGGCAGCAGTCAGGACACAGCTGTCAGGCTGTGCTCATACATCCAAAGTTCTAGGATGGATATCAGTGGATGGAAGAAATTGTGTAGAGGATGGAGGATGGTTTTACAGCAATGCCACATCACCGATGCTCCTGATGCCACAGAAGACAAGAGTGTGTGGAAAATCACACTACCTACTGCTTTGAGTCAAAAAGTTTTCAGAAAAGACAGAGTCTGAATGTAAAGAAGTTTTAGAAATACCTTAACCAACTTAATTTGCTTGTTTTCCTTTTTAAGGAATGTGCATGACTGCTGTATCTTAACAATCTATATCTAAAAAACTCAAAAACAGCTCTTTCAATAAGAAAAGAAAAACTCAGAGAAAAACGTTATGTAAATTTAATTGATAACGCTTTTTCTCTCTTAGCAATCTATGAAATAATGGTGGTTCTCATAGTCAATGACAGTACAGCCCATGAAATATGGGATGCTTTCTATAAAATTAGTAGTTTTTCCCCTGTCTTATGGGAAACAAATGGGATTAGTAAATTGTAACTGTTATCTTTTTTACTGAAGTAAAGCACAGAGATCTGTATGTCTCTTCCTCAGAAAGTTAAATTTCACACTGCTACAATAAACAGAACACACGAGGCCTGCAAATTCCCAAGGGAAAGTCTCTGTGTTCAAATCCAGGTTTTGTTATAGTTTAACATTGCTGCTGAAGAAAAGAGGGGCACCTGCCCAGGGAAGGCACATTTAAAGAGTCAATATGTTTTGGGGAGCACTGCCAACCACTGCCACCTTCACACTGCTGACTCTACCCCAAACGGGCGATAAGCAAACAGAACATAAGGCCCCTGTTCTCACCCACCCTGACTTTGAGGCAGACCGGAATTTGTTACCAAAGCTCTCTATTCCTCCAAAAGAAGGTGGTTAGTCCTTATCTTAAATGATTAAAAAATGAAAGGAAAATAACAATAACAAAGGAAAGACTCTTCTGAACAGAGAGCTAAAGGATAAAAAGATGTAGGAAACCCTCTAGAGATAGTCACAAAGTGTCTGCTAATTGTCTATGTCCTGAATTCACCATTTTGCTGCATAAAGGACCAAAATAAAGCCTTGCCCAACTGGACTCCAACCCTGAGTATTTTAGAGAAGAGCCAAAAACATACACCAAGATGTCCATAGTAGGCCTAACATTCTTATGGTTTTCTTCCTGCTCCCCGCCCGGGTGGGGCCACCCACTCCGTGGTTTTCAATTCTTTTCCCATCCCTCACTTCCCCTCTAAACAGTAGGAAACAGTATCCATCAGCATAAATGGTGGCCCTTTACCCTGCTCCATGATGGTGCATTCGACAGCACTGGGTCCTGGAGATAGTGCAGGAAGCAGAGTCCAGTTTCAGCCCATTTAGAGGAAAGATGACTAGGGGAGTAAATAAAAGGCTCCCTCGGTGTGCACGTGCCCCAGTGTGCAATTACAGCAACGTCTGGAATCCCCTGCAGAATCACTCAAGTTCTTGCCTTTTCAGACTCTTGTGGTTGATTATCAAAATGCTCATTCACCACCTTCCTTGGTGAGTTACCTCTGGAAATGCTCACCCCACTCCATTTGACCCTTAATAAAAAACTGATGTCCGAAAGGGTTGATGATTATAGATTCATCTCTAAACGTCATTTGTTCCAAGAAGAAAAAACTGTGTTTGTTGTTTGGGGCATCCAAAGAAGGAAAGCAGGCAAGAGAAAAGGAAATATTTGATCTTCCAAAAGTGCCAAGCTTTGAAATTATGAAGCTTCAAATTCTCTCCAGCAGCACTCTTCGATCTCGGGAGTCCCTGTGGCCCAGGTGGCCTCTGCTGAGGTTCCCAGCTGCTCTTCATAAACACGCAACTTCATTGCTTTGCAGAGAAGTAGCTACACATGGCACTTTAAAATTTTTTAATGACTGCATCTCTCCTCCTCTAAAGACAGGCTGGGTTCCACGGGGGGAGGCTGACCACCACCGTGGGCAAGTTGCCCATGGCAGGAGGCTGCTGGGAGCTGAGGGAAAGGCCTGGGAGGCCAGGAGGCAGCATCTGGTCTGAGGGAAATGAAATACTGCATGCAGAGGGCTTATTAAAAGTTTCATGCTTGAAAAATTCATAGTAAAGGCAAGTCTGGGGAAGCAGTTTCCCCTTTTGCTGGTCATGTTAACGTTATAGTCAGAAATTTGAATGCAATTTTGACATTTGTATGGGCTTAGGAAGAAGAAATAAAAACATGGTGAAGCATGAAGCCAGTTTTGATTGAAAAAAACAATGCAGAACAGAATTTCCCAAGTCAGCACTTTGCAGGTGACTGAGGTGCATGCAGCCTCCCCTCCTGAGGCTCTGCGCGCCTCATCTTTGGGCTTCAGCAAACACAGGCACAAAGCAGACCTGTGGCTGCGGAGGCCATGGCTTCCCTGAACCTCTCTGATGAATTGACTCTAGAAATTTTGCCAGGTTATTCAGGACTTTGTACCCCCTTCAGCAGCAAGACAGCATACTGTATTCCTCAAATTTAACTTTGAAAAGCTCAACTGGCTTATTTCTTAATTGTAAAGGTAAATTGTGTGTTTAAATTTTTTGAGCAAGTAATTTTTGCACATAGTACAAAATTCAAAAGGTGCAAATAGTATATGCTGCATATAGGAGTCCCAACCCTCTCCCTGGTGATTCTACTCCCGTTACTAGAGGCGACCTTCAGTAACCTCTTCCTGCAGATCCTCCCAGAGTTCTACGGTATATACAGCACACCCTACATACAACCATGTTTCTTATATGAGCTTTGTGTTCTTGTTCCATCAAAGAGGTTTAATAAAAAAATAGATAACTAATTTGGTGAAATGGATAATTCTTTTAAGCAACCATGAAATGGATAATTTTCTTAGATCTGACCGGATATTTTTCAAGTATTGTCATGTTATTAAGTGACTCCCCAACTGAAAAAAGTTTTAAAGATATAGATACTTCCACAATATCCAGTGTGTGAATTTCTCTCCTCTTATTGTTCATGGACTTTTGTCTGCCATCAAATGGAGCTCCCTCTCTTACCCCACTTCATTGTGATCTTTACACCTTTCTCCCTGATGGTCATCATCTCAGCCTTTTTTTTAACATTCCTAAAGTAACTGTTCAGGGTTTTCTATGTAGAGATGGCAAAAATCATGGGTTTTTAAACTGGCGAATAGAAATGAAATCACTTACCTATGGCTACCCATAGCTGATCATTGGCAATAATGAGAGAAGTGGGGTTACACTGCAGAAGGATCATTTGGCTGGGCTTTAAGTGGATTCTGATCTATTCATTCTTGTCTTATTAGCCTCTGGATCTCAACCAAGTATTCAAGTCTCTCTAGCCTCCTATTTCAGTTCTTTGTAAATGAGCGGAAATCATAATTAGAGATTTCCTACTTAAACATTCTGTTTCCTGTCTGACACTTCCCAGTGTTTTGCCCATATGTATCTAGTCCTTAAAGTCTCAAATTTTTGACTGTGCAAAAAGCTTAATTGTCTCAAGTTAAAATAAAAAAGAGGCGCACCATCACATTGAAATTTGCTAGGTGTTATGGACTGAATATGTGTGTCCCCCTAAAAGTCATATACTAAAATCCTATCCTATGATGTGACATATTTGGAGGTGGGGCCTTTGGGAGGTAATTAGGTTTACATGAAGTTATGAGGGTGGGGCTCCTCAGGTGGGATTAGTACCCTTTAAAGAAGAGGAAATGACCAGAGAGCTCTCTTCCCACCATGAGGCAGTGGAGGGGGACGGGACGCACCATGAGAAGGAGGCCTCCTGCAAACCAGAAGTGGCTCCTCACCAGAATGTGGCCATGCGGGTGCCCTGATCTCAGCCTCCCCAGCCTCCAGGGCTGTGAGAAATATATTTCTGTTGTTTAAGCCCCTCAGTCTGTGGTGTTTTGTTATGGTATCCTGAGCTAAGATACTAGGTGTTGCCTAATTTCTTGACAGCAAATAGTTTAGCAATTCAAAAGTATGGCTTCACATGATGCTAATTCCTGTTTTTTTCATTCAGTCATATAGGCCCTTTCATCATTAGTGCCTCAGAAGAATGTTTCCGGCTCAGTGTGTGCCCAGCCCTACACCTAGTATAGATGCTGGCTGCACAGCACGATTCCAGCTCCTGGGTCCTGCCACTGAACTCATGAAAACTATAAAATGCAGTAAGGCAGTGACATCTGTCCTAACTTGGCTCATCAACTGGTCTGAATTCCAGGTGACTGAGTGTGAGGATCTGAGACACACTGGAACAGTGGGCTGCTGAGACTGAAACTGAGAGACATGACAAATTCTTTCCAGGCATTAGGCCAAGGTCAGGAAACACATACTAAGGCATGGAATAAGATGAGATCAAATATGGGGCAGCATTTATTTGTTCTTCTAATTGTTACATTTGTCACTCAACAAATTTCTACTACAGGCAAAATGATGTGCTAAGCATTGTGCTATGTGCC